AGGTGGAATTTTCACTTTGTTTCACTGAGGCTGAAATTGTTAAAAAATTAAGAACGAAATAAGAACAAATTGAGGCTGAGGTAAAATTTCAAATGAGGTTTTCTAATTATTTTTTTTTAAATAGAAAAACCAAAACATTTTTATCTGCACCTTATGCGCAGAAGTTATGACTATGTAATACTGTACGGTACCCTCTATAATACAATACAATAAAGGTGTACCTGTCATTTGGGGCCATTTTTACCTGGCCTTTTTTTCTGGGGCTATTTTTACTGGGGCCTTTTTTCAGGGGCCATTTTTCCGGGCCATTTCTACCTACATTGCAGTACAGTATTATACTACTGTACAATAATGCTTTTCTGTGTTTGAAAAGTGTGTGAAATAATAACAAAATAAGAACATTTTGAGTCTGTAATCGGCCAAAAAATAAGAACACTGAGCTTGGGCAAAATTTTACTGGTTCTTATTTTTTTTTTTTAAGTGTAGCCTTTTTCCTATTCAAAACCTAATCAATTAAACTTGTGGTCTGTCAAAAAGTGGTCAGGCTGAAAGGTGTGTGCTGATAAAATGATAGTCCACACTACGTCAACGCCACCGTGGTTGGCGGTGACGCGAAAATTTCAGTATTTTATACTTTTGGAGGTCCGGAAATGGAACTTAAATTACCGTTTAATTCTTTTTATTTTTTATTACGAATTCAGTAAAAAAAAAAAAATAAATAAAAACTCGATTTAATTAAATACCGTAGGTACCCGAAAATGGCACTTTAATACTTACAATTCTAAAAACTACCTGTACCATATCCTACTAGCTGAGCCCCACCCTGGTAAATATTTCAAAATTATTTTTAAAGAATAGAGAAAAAACGGAAAATAATATTCATATCCTGAGAGTGCCATTTCCGGCCATCTAGAGGCAACGTAATCTTAATTTTTCTTACCTCAGCCCCAACCATGGTGGGGCTGAGGTGTCTGTCTGTGAAGTGAAGGTCCCTCTCTGGGCACCTTCTATTTTCACTTTACCATCACTTTAAGGACCACCACATCCGAGCGAAGGTCAGGGAAAATCCTGGATCCGCGGCTGCTTCGCCATGGCGAACGGTGCGAAGGTCTGGGTCCGTCCCCGCCTCTGGCAGCCCTAAAGTGTAAATAATATTGCGTGGTTACTGGCGACTCAACATCTACTAAATTAATTTATTACAAGACTTGTTACGGACCGATTATAATGGTCACTCAACCTGTAATACATTTAACATTACTGTATTTAGAACCTTCCGTTTTGATTGCCCAGGGACAGTGGCGTATCCAGTGGCGTATCTAAAAGGTAGCAGGTGCTACCGAAAATTTCGTACAAATAAAATTCAATGTCTCAATTAAGTCAAAGTGTCTTGCATTAGTACTTTCATGTCTTTCATATATATACAGCGGTGCCATTGAACCAGCCATTTATTAGTTAAATAAGTCTTAGCATTAAGCTGGTTCAATGGCACCGCCAATAAACTATCGCTTACATAATCATTTTGCCGACATCTTATCATGGTTTAATTGTACAGTAATTAATTCGCCCATTAAGTTGTCACTGAACTTATATTTTGTGGTCCAATTAACTAATTGTATTGATAACTTGATTCTGATTGGTTTATTTTTCTTTATGTATATGTAAGATCTCCCAAGTTTTCTCACTTTAACGTTGATGAAGATAGCAGGAGCTATCGAAATATTCGTTTGATTTTGTTATAGCTTAATAAATTTGTGTTCCGCAAGTCAACTTTCAACGATTGTACACCGGTTTTTCATTGCTTTTGCATTTGCAGGTTGCCAGCTGCAACTGGGCATTATGTTAAAATTATTTTCAAAATGTTTTTACTATGGTCGGGCTGAGGTACCTACGGTACCTGAGGGGCCCCGCCCTGCTGGAGTCCTAATATTACTACCACCTTTTAACTACCGATTCTTAAGAGTGGAGTAACGCGTGTGCTTTTTGGGGCCAGTCTACCCCGAAGAGGCCACAGAGGCCCCTCTTCTTCTTACTGCCAACCAGAACTTTATTACAATCAAATAGACCAACATCCCACAAACAATCTTTGACGGATTTATCCAAAGGGACTTTCTACTACGACTCAACATCTTACTATGGAGCTTTGACCAGGAATTTTGTGTAACGCATGTGCTTCCTAGGAAAATGCCCGGTTACAAGTCCTAGTACTCTAATACGACGCTTTTGACCATACGGCACACTTTTTTTAACTTTCCAAAATGTATGGGGGCCCGGCACTTTATTTATTCATGGAGGACTAATCAACTCAATTCATCTAGTTGGCATGGCACTGATAGAAATTAAATTTTGAACATTTTATCATTTCGCAATAGACCTTATATTGTTTTCATGGTGGGACTGAGCAGGGTATAACTCTAGTCCCCACTAACTTTATATCTCGTGTCTGTCACGTCAATGTACAGCAGGATGGGAGCAGTGGCGTATCTAGGGGATGCGGGGATCGCACGCACGAGTTTTAAATAATTTTAAATTTATTATTCTTCTTTAATTAAATGTTGTGTCTGCCCCTGGAGGGGAGGGGTAGCGATTCTACAATAGTAAATACGGGCTGTTCATGTTTTTCCAAATATGCATAGTAGGTTTATATTGCATCCTGTTTATTCATAACACATGTTTTATTTAATAGTATATTGTAAATATTTCACAATACCTGCACGTTGTGTAAGTAGGCCTATAAATTATATATTCATTGCTATTCATTGTATAGGCCTATGTACTTGCGTTTCTTGCACTATTTAATTTTATTAAATTTCATTAATGGAGGAAAGTAACTCAATTCATCTACATATGGCACTGATGATACGAAAATAAATTTTAAACTATTTTTTTAAAATTTTCGCAATAGACCTTGTCCAGATATAGCATTATTATCCTGGGTGCTTTTTTGGGCCCACTCTTTAGCATCATGTACAGGGGATATAGGCCTTTAATTATTTAATTAACAGCTGCAATGGTGGTGGCGACGGCTAATTTGTTTTTTTGTTTGTTTTTGTTTTTTCATTATTGTAGTTCGTATGTAGGTTCTAATTTGCCAGTTCAAGAACAGCTCACTGGTTCTTCACCACACATGAACAAACGTAATCTTACAGAGCCGTAGATAGAGAGAGTTTGGCCAACTTGGCGCATGGGCGCCATGTTGTCACCAAACAGCGTGCGCGCGTATAGCTTTATAACATTTTATAAAACACTGATGATGCTGCATAAACTTTCTTTC